TCACTGTGACTAAATACTGAAACTGGCATATTTGAAATCCTAAAATTTCATAAACCGCAAGTGAAACACCAAGTAAAAAAAAAAAAAAAAAAAAAAAAAGTTAGTAAATTGAAGTACACGTACTCAAAAAGTAGTTATAATATTTGCATAAAAATATACTGTTAAATATTGTATAGCATATAAAATAATGAAATGTATAAAATAAAAATTTTAAACTCACAGAACAGTAAGATCTAGAGCAGAAATTCTTTCAGGTAAGTCTCAAAATTGTTTACATTCTAAAGTCATAATTCATATTTGCTTAATTGATGCATATTTTCAGTTATAGAAACTAGAGATGGATGGTCCTCTCTGGAACCGACTCACTTAACTGAGCAAATGATCAGCGCTCTAGCGAAAATGTAATGGCAGTTCTTTAACAGTTCACCGAGAGCTGTTGTTGGAATATGTGGAAAAATTTAATTCTTCTCAACATAAACACTAGCATTCTTCGCTTTATTATTTACCCAAAATGTCTCTGAGCTTTCTTTTAACGTGTGTATGTGTGTATGTATGTATATATGTATGCTTTTAATTTGCTTGTGTTCTATCTAGTATTTAAAAAACAAAACATTAAATAAACCGATGCATCTCAGCAAACCTGAACACCCCTATTTGCAAATGGATGGATTCCCCCCTTCCTCTGACAGTGCAAGGATCCGTTTATGTGGATTGTAGGAACTAGTTCATTTGATTCTCAACTGTTAGAGCTCCGGGTCTAGTCACAGATCTGGGTCCTTTGGAGTTGTGATTATTCATTCTTTCACTGCTTCTGCTCTAACCGCGGATCTGATTCCTATTGAGTCTTCCTTATTCGTTTTTATCACTCCTGCTCTAGCTGCAAATCTGGCTCCTGCGCAGTCTTGATTATTGCTCTTTTCACATCCTCGGAACTGTTCCTTTGAATTTCATTTCGATTCTTTGAATACTATCATAGTATAGCTATGTATATTAGGTAGCACCTTTTTAATGCGATATTACTGTAACATTTATGTAAAATAATAAATTATATTTTTAATTATTTACTTATTTTAAAAACATCTTGTAATCAAGAGCTGTGAATTTCTCTTAATCTTCTTTAGAATTAGTATATATTTAGAAATATAAATCTTTCCATCTAATATATTTTTTCAAGGTTGCAAAACAAAATGTGGACCCTACCAAACAGAGTAACTTCACATCATTTTGTCAAATTCTATGGAAAAAAAAAAAAAAAAATAATGTTGAATTTTCAGCAGACAATTTCCTGTTTTGGGATCTGCTCCATCTAAAAAATTATTTTTACACTGTGCTTTGTAGTAGCAACAAAATATCAATTATAGTAATAAAATAATGCAATCTTTAACAAAAGTGAGTTTAGGTTTCATTATTTTTAACATTCAGCATTTTTTGTTCCAGAAATGTATTGTTGTTAGACTAAAGAAATCAGTTAAGAGGAGTGAGCGGTTGAGTTGATAAGAACTGATTCACTTCAGTGAGCAAATGGTTCCGATCTGATCTTTTAAAGGAGCGGTTTTGTCCATCTCTATTAGAAACTGATACTATATTGTACCACATGTTAATTTATTTTCAAAGTCATAATGCTTCTATATAAAAAGTCAGAAAATATTAAAGGCATACAAAACTATCTGCATGCAACATAACATGAAAAATAAAGTAACAAAGGGAACTTACTACATCACTTCCATCAGGTTCAGCAGCAGAACCAAGAGCACTTTTAACTTTTTCTCTGAATTCCTCATCAACTTTGTCAGTGTTACTTACTTCTTCATCACTGCTGCTTTCGGATACAAATTCTATTTCCTCATTTTCTTCTCCTTTAAAAAATAAAATTAGATAAAATAATTATATGTTAAATAATACACAAGCCAATATTTTCCTAACCTAACTACAACAACTTACCAGATTCAATTTCCATCTCTTCTTGGCTTGGATTTTGTGGATTGATAACCTAAAATACAGTAAAAAATAAATAAATGGAAATTTATTTAATAAATGGAAAAGCAAACCATTATTCATGCATACTTAGCGAAATAATTTGAAAGATACAATTTTCACATGCAATGAATATTCAAAATTTTCAAAAATGTTAGCTAGTGTTAAGTTAAAATCAGAAAAACTTTAAATACTTGATTTTTTAACTATGATATTTTTCAATAACTTCTGCAGAAAATTAAATTAATTTAATTGTAAAAATATAAATAGATTGATGTGATGGACATCTTTTATAAAGATTTTACACATAGTTTAGCTCAACTATGAATACAGAAATAGACAATGCAAACACATTGTTTGAAAATCAAATTTGTCGTTAATATCTTAGTTTAATGTTTTTATTTATCTCATTACTCCTGAAAAGAAGACAACCAGCCAGCCAAGGATCAACAACAATAATTAACTAATAAACTACAATTATATTTCTGCAATCAATTTTAACATATTTTAAAAACAACAATGAAATTGTATACTAAATAATGTTTCAGTTTTCTAATGTGATCAACAGAGTGAATAGGGAAATTCTTATTTGTACAGCAATGTCCCTGTATATAAATATCCACATCCTTAATAAGTTTATCTTCGTTAATATCAGAACTTTATGAGTATTCAGACACTTGCATTTGTGCCAAGGTGAAATCGTAAAAATTTATATTTTGGAAAATACTGATTTTCATGATAGTGCCTTGACTTTTATAATAGACACTACTATAAAAGCATCACTTCACATTCACAAACTTCTGGGTTTTTTTCTTTTTTTTAGATATAAATTCAATTCATGAAATAAAAAATTCAGTACATATTATTGAAACATCAATGAAAAAATATTGCTAAAAGTTTCATGAAATATTTGTAAATTAGTCGATATTCTTCACATGCAAAATTATCTCAACATAACTTAGAACATAAAATTGCACTGATGCTTTAAATACATTTCAACATTGCTATATTGGAAGTAAACTTACATCTAGAACTACTTGCAAAGCTTCTTTTGTTATGAAAGGACACAGTAATGGAAACACAGAAATGATGAGTCGATGCACATGATGAGAGGAATTTGATAAGAGAGATAATAGCACATCAACAACAACCCCAATCCATGGAGGTTCATTTTCCTCATCTGCAGTTTGATCTAGCTGCTTTTGAGCTTTCAAAGCTTTCTTGCAGCATATGTTTAATTCCTAAGAAAGAAGAAAAGGACAATAGAAATACTAAATTATGTTCTAACTGAAAAAGGAAATTTTTAAACATATATTTTAAGAAATCAAATAACTTTTCACAAAACTAATGATTTCCTTAGGTGGCTGTGCACATTACATTGCACAATATCCAATAACCTTGCAATTAAAGTAATTCTATTATCAGGGGGAGAATTCTCAGTTATTGTTGCATACAACTGGTGACAAGCAGTAGTTTGATCGGCATTTTCTGATTATCTGTACCTCCATCTAAAAATTGTGCATTTATTGACAACTTTGGAGAGCATTTGCAAACTCACTGTCAGTTAATCTTTCACCATGTATGAAAGGCAACAGAACCTTTCAAAATAGCAGTGCACTACGAATTTCACCCAGCAATCAATAAAATTCAAATTGCAAGAAACAGCAGTAATAAATCATTTATCTTTTTTGAGAAATCATTCTCTTTTGCACTGTTGTTCTCTCCACATACACAGCAATTTCTTTTTCATTTAAAAAATTATCAGAGAATTGCATAAATTTGGTAGTGAACAACATTGGCCATTAGCTACAACTGCTTCATTAATACTTTTTCGACAATTTCCGGTTGAGGGTTTAAGTTTATTGTATCGTCAAGAAATCAGTGCGCTTAGTTACGAGCTTGTGGACCAAGAATGATTATTTTATTTGAGAATACATTTATATGTGAACAGCTTTTTCCACAGCTGAAAATTTTTAAGAAAGAACCCAACTGATCAAAGAGCATCATCAATTTATGTTGGGAGATAATTGTAATATCTATCCAGTAATCAGACGTTATACAAAATGAGTAATTATTTACATACAAGCGTATTTTAATTTATGTATGTCAAAGAAAAATTTAATAAATAAGAGAGACTATGTTGCCATTATTTATTTTCAAGTTTTCAGACAATTTTTAAATTTTTTTTAAAATTTTAAGTCAGTTGTTTAATGATTAGCTAAGTTAGAATTGTTTGAAGTAATTTTCTGTTTGAAATATTAATATGTAGCTGTCAGTATGTTTGAATTACAAAGTGTAACTAACAAAAATGTCTTGCAGGCACCACATTTAAGCTTTCAGATGGGAAATAAATGTAAATTTGAATATTTTTCTAGGAAATAAATGTAAATTTGAATTTCTTTCTTTTGCATTATCATTATTGTTTATGTATGTTTTGATAAATATTCAGTAAAGAAATTTTTAAATTTTTGATTTTTTTTTTTTTTTTTTTTTTAAATTTTTTTATGTTGCTGATAAAAGGTTTCATTTTGCTAAAGAAAATTTTGCTTTTTTTTTAATCGTGTATTCGGCATGCATACAATTTGAGTTTGAGACCACTGCTGTATATTATATTATTTCATATATTATACTACTAATTAAGTAATGTAAAATTTAGTCTACATTACCTTATACTTTCACTGCTTTGTGTGTATTAAGTAAGGAAGTCAGCTCGTCGTAAAAGTCTAACCCAAATTTTTAAGCAGAAATTAAGACATGTAGTTTCTGTACTGTATAATATTATATGTTTCAAGGAGTAATAATAAAATTAGTTATTTTCCCAATAAACTATCAAAAACGTTTACATTGCATTAACATGCAAATTTTAAAATGAAAATTATATTTACATTCCTGTACAATAAGGGAATTTCACTTTTGTGAAAGGATATTAACTTACTGAGAAGTTCAGCAGCATCTGTAGTTGTATGATGATAAACACAATATGAAGAATAAGCAAAGGAGGTAGGAGGATGGAGTAGCCATTGTGATGAAAGTGCATATTTATTAAATAAAGGAAATGGATAAGGATCTTAAGAATTATCTTCTTTTGAACCTGAAGAACAACAAAATATTTAATACCGTCCCCTTTTTTGGAAAAGAGTAAATAAATAAAACAGTAAGTGAAGAGCAGTTTGATTCAAAGAGGTAAATAAAGTGCATGTATTAGGTCATCTAGAGTGTTTTGTAATTTTTAATGATAAATACTGTAAAGCAGTACAAAAGCATAAAATGTCATTGAATCACATAGAACACCATTTTGTTCTATGACTTTTTGGCCATCTCTGTGTATGGGTACCCAAATATATTATTATTATCCATACATTAACAGCTTACATAACCACTGTTCTTTAAGTGGTCATGTACTGTACTTTTTGGAATGTTTAGTCTGCCAGATAGTTACTGAATCGTATTATGCGGATTTTCAGCCACATCTTTCTTTAATAGGTTCTTTTATATAAAGGATGGTCATTGAAAGCAGACATAATCTGCAAGGCCAGAATTTCTGCTCATAACTTTTTCAAACTATGTGATGAGAAACAATGCTTTGTACCATATACAGCACAAATTTTATGAGAAGTCTAACTAGCATTAAAAAAAAAAAAAAAAAGCGCATGACATAAATCTGCCTCAATTAAGATCACTCCTTATCAGCAGTAGCAAAATCATTTTTAAAAAATGTGCTGCGATTTGAGAAATGGAGGAATTTCTGCATGATTGAAAAATTATTTCGTCAGATCGAAGAGCAATGCATATAATGCCACTCCATTTCATTCCATGGGCTATTAATGAATGCTTCCATAGTCTTCAGAGTTGCTGTAAGTGCTACTGCAAGTCTTTTTCTGAATGTTTCCTATTTTAAGCAGTCATTTTTCTAAATGGCTGCAATGCTGCATTAAACTCGCATCTTGCACTCTTAAGACCTCATATAATTCTAGCATGCAATGGCATTAGTTGCAACATCTAGCAGCATCTCAACTAATGGCGTAAATTCAAGCAGATGTTTTTTATTTGAAATGATAAAAGAAATTTCTGAGTTTAATATACTTATCTATTTCCCTTTGCACTATACAGTAACAAGGTGAATTTATTTCAGACATGTAGCCATATTTGTACTCATTGATAATGTGGCAAGTATATTTCCCTTTGCACTATATAGTAACAAAGTGAATCTATATCAGATGTGTAGCCATATTTTAAACTCATTGATAACATGGCATGTGTATTGCACATGTTTGTTGTTTATATTGAGCTTTTACAAGGTAAACAAAAAAGTTCTTACCATTTTGGACAGTCAGAAAGAAAAGTCATAAAATAAATAATAATCACCACTAATCCTCAGAGTAATCACCATTGGCATCCAGTGCCTTTTGCCAACGAGTGTCTGCCGTTGTGGTAAAACTTAGGAGTTTTGGATGCAAAGAAATCCGTGATGGCCTTTTTGAGGTCTGGCCGGTTATTGAAGGATTTCTCACAAAGATGGTTGTCCAGGGAATTTAAAAGGTGGTAGTGTGTTGGTGCAAAGTCTGGGGAGTATAGTGGATGGGGTAGTGTGTCCCAGCCCAGTTGCTGGATGGTGTCCCTGGCCTCCTGAGTCACATGCAGCCTCACATTGTCATTGAGGAGGTGTACACCCTTACAATTGACCAGTGCTGGCTCTTTGTGCATGATGCACACTTTCCAACAGCTGCGAGTACTGGCCTGCCATAATGGTTTGGCTGACTGGCAAGAGCTCTTAGTGCACCACTTGGCGACTAGTCCACCAAAGCATGATCTTGCATGGGTGGACAGACAGTTTTACAGTGTGAGGCACAGGGTCCTGTGGTGACCACCAATGTCTGGAACGTTTGAGTGTGTCATACTGGACCCACTTTTCATTGCTGGCAAGTACTCGATCAAATATGGATGCATTGTGGTGCCAATTAAGCAATATCAAACAGGCAGCAACGTGCTGTTGCTTGTTTGCATCAGATAGTCAAGGGTGTCCACTTTGCTCAGCTTCTGTGCCTTTCCTATGCGGTGCAGATGGAGTCTGATCATTTCATCAGATACCTGGAAGTGTGCAGCAAGCTCTAAACATGTTTGACTACTGTCTCTCTCTATGGCTGCTCTCAGGGCCTCATCGTTCAGCGCTTGTGGCTGACTGCTGCATTGTGCATCACTAAGAGACATACCCCCTGACCTGAACTTCTGGAACCATTACCTAGCAGTTTGTTTAATAACAGCATCATACCCAAAGGCCTGGCAAATTCAGCAACTTGAATCTGCTGCTGACAGGACCACTTTAAAATCATACAGCAAACAACTCCAAACGAGCACCTTTGACACGTCCATTTCAATCAGTCGCTGTGCGAGTTATGTTTGAAATATCGATGCAATGTGCTTTTTATACTCTTGGTCAATGTGCGGACTCTCATCCTAACCACTTCATCGCCAGGTTTGACGACTATTTTTATGTTTGGATTCTCTCTTCCGATGTCATATCAGAAGCAGCAAGAACGTTTTTTGGTAACTTTGTACTTAAGCCACTTTAAGGCCCTATAAACTTGCTTTCCATGCTTTAATGATGAGTAAACAAAATTGTGAAGGGTTATAGTATGATGGCAGAGTGAATTTTAATTTGGGTCTGACTTTGCATGCATTTTTAAAAGAAGAGAGAAATGATGCTAAACCAATAACAAACTATTTTAGAAGTTTAATGTAGAAGTGAATAAAAGTAACAAGTATCCAAATTGTTATATATGATTTTTTAAAAGAATATTGTGAAAAAATATGTATGAAAAAGGGTGTTCTAGTTTCTCCAGTTTTCCTAATGGCCTCTGATATCCTACCTTTTGATTCCAAATGAATATTGTGTTTTCTAAATACATTTTCAAGATGAAGTTTTACTGTGTGTTATTGAATAAATGTATAAAAAAGTAATGTGTAACTATTAAGGAAATGTTTATGTGCAATTATTTGCTTAGATATTTTTTTGTTTATTGCAGGATATGCATGATGATTAAATTTTCTGTATTTTCCTATTAATATTTATGTTGATTAAATTCTTATTATATTTAGTGATGTGATGGCGTCACAAGATATGGCATTGACATCTTGTGAAGAAGAAGTTGCAAATGGTTGCCATTTGTGCAAGTCAAAATTTGAACAACCTAGAGTTTTATCTTGCTTACATGTTTTCTGCGAAGAATGCTTGAAAAAGCATATAGCAAAAAATGGTTTTTTGCCAAATATGCTTGAATGCCCTGATTGTTTACAGGAAACTAAGGTAAAATAATTTTATCTATTTATGTAGAATAAGATTCTGTGAGTGTTCTTTTAATGTAAATTTTACAATAGATTTTTACATGGTCAAAATTTAATACTTTGAATGTTTAATCTAGTTTTACCATATTGAAAATACATCTTACCAGAGTTGAAAAGAAGTCTTCAGGAAATTGAGGTGTATCAGAATCGTAATTAATTAATAGTGAAAAGCATCTTTGCTCTTCTTGCAGATATTTACATCCAATAAATATAATATACATTTGACCTTCAGTGAGATAAAATTAAAGGGAGCAGATAAAGCTTTTGAATTATCAAAAGTGTCATTAAATAAGAAAAAATTTCAGTGACTTTTCACTTCTACTTCTTAACATTCAGTTAACCTTTCTGAAGTTTGATAACCAAAGTTAATTCAATAAACATATGTAAAGCAAGTCAAGACTTGTATTTAGATTATTATATCTGAGGTTTTGTTAACAGAAATGTATCTGTTGTCTTTTTTGGGTATTTATTAAATACTTTTTGATAGGTTGCAATAAATTTTACTTTTCATTACTATTTGTAGTTAATAGTAAGACTTGTAATAAATGATAATTTAAAGTATATGTATAATTTCACTGGCAGTTAAACCTGGCTAAAATTATCTCTGTCTGTGGATACATTCACTGATTGGCATACTTAAATGTGTTTTAAGAATTAGTATGAACATTTAAAATTTTCTAGTAGTAAGATTATAAGCTGTATGAAATTAGGTTACATAAATAATGAAAAAATATATATTTTTTAAAGCTTGGTACAAAGGGTGTGTCAGGATTGCCTTTGGATTACATAGCTTGCAACAGGATTGATTTAAAAGCAATGGAGAAAACTCAGATTGTTTGTACTAGTTGTAAAGCAAAAGAGACAGCTGTTGCTAGGTGTACTGAATGTGCTACATTTCTTTGTCCTAATTGTGTCACAGCTCATCAGTTTATGAGGTGCTTTGAAAGTCACACGGTCAGTATATATTCATAGTTTGCATAGTTTATTGTACCATGTTGTTCTTTTATATTAATTTGCATTGAATCTGTTAATGTAGGTTCTGTCTTTTGATGAAATGAAGGGTGATGGGGACAGTTTCACTACAATTCATAAACCTGTCACTTGTAATTCTCATCCTGATGAAGTCATGAAATATTACTGCCATACATGCCATGTAAGTTTATTTTTGCCTCCTCAGAGTAGAATTATGGAAGTTCTTATATTATATAGTAGAATTCTGATAATATGCACACATTTAGGATATTGGTTGTATGGAAGACAAGTGGATTTTGTGGATAATAGGTGGTCTTGAGTTTTGTGCACATTTCAGCGTCTTTAATTATGAGATCTTGATTGCTTAATAATTAAAACACACTCATTAAAACACTCAATTAAAACACACCTTGAGAATTTGAACAAAATTTATTGAGTGTAAAATTTTATTTCTTGAATTAAATTGCATACAACTTTGTCAGTCTAATGTCAGTGCAAGAAAGCTTAGTGAAGAGAGAATTTTTTGAGGAATGTATCAGTATATTTCATGCGAAAAATGTCTATATTCATGAATGGAATTTCTTTTGAAGGAATTTTTATGCTTTTAATTGAGAGAAAATACATTCTGTACAAAATCCTTAAAAGTATGGATTTTCTTAACTGGAATGCTTATGCTAAATCTGCTGTTAGGTTCTGCATATGCATTGTTGGGTTAATAATATTCCAAATTGCTGGAAGAAATTTTGGATGTACTTTTTCACTGAACTCAGCATTGAGTTTTGGCATATTTCCTGAGTGCTAGGTTTTGCAAGTTTATTTTGGCCTCTTCGTTTATAACCATTGCTTTTACAACCTTTTTTTTTTTTTTTTTTAAATAATAATGCAGTTTATTTCTCAGCTTGGATGAAGAACCTGTCTTCTTCAAGAAAGATGTTCTTCGTAGATTGTGTTATGGAATGAATTTGATTTGAAGCCTGCATCTGTAATGCCAGGAAGAAAAATGTATCTCAATATAAATGTGGTTTGTTTATCTCAATGTAAATGTGGTTTGATATCTGAATGTAAATGTTGTGTATTGGGTTTTGCAAACCAATGTTTGCTTTTAAATGAATCACAAAACAGTGGTTGGTTGAAATAGTTACATAATGAGCACCATTATATGAATGCTCAATATTTTGCAGTTATGAAATTAATATACCTCGCTCCAAGGTATCATGTTTGAAGATTAATAAATTCTATTGGAGAAAAGGAAAGAATTCAAAATCTGCAAATATATGATGTACACATGCTAAATCTTATATATTTACTTCATTTCAGTCAGAAGTGATAATTAACAGATTATTTATATGATTTTAAAACTGGTATATAATATATACCAGCGCCCACACTGAGGATACCGCACCAATAGATGGCAGCGCCAGTCTTTTCTGTTCTGTGACATGGCAGAATTTCTTTATATTATAACAGTTTATCATGTAAATTTTTTTTATGATTAATTTATAAGTTGTTTAGGATTCAATATTAAGTTCATGTAGGGATACTGACCCTGAGCTAAAACTGAATTCTTTTTTTGTTCCACTCAAGTTTCATTCGTTTAGCTAAAATTTTAATTTCAGCACTTCACCTTTTCCTAAGAGAAAGTCTCATCGATTTCAAAATTGCCGTCTGGGGTCCAAATTTTGCAGAATTGTACGGGTTAAATGTGGCATGTTAGCCCCCAAAAGACACCCGTTACTTCATGCTTTCCAAAACCCTAGAATTCAACGAAAACGAAAAAAGGTGATTGACAACTGATTTGTCATTCTGGTGTCACGCCGTCTTCCCTTTGTGTGGTGTGGTAAGATCACACAAAGAGAAAGCTCACTTAAAAATACAGGAAATGGAAGTGCACTTAAGGTAATCTAGTGTAATCACGAAAACTGCTAATCTGAAAGCATGCTTTTGTTCTTATTGTGTTTGTTAACTTAAGATGAAAGACTAGGGCACAGCAAGAGAAATTTGCCCTCTGGGTTAAGATAAAAATAGGTTGTTTTGGAAATAAATTTAACAATTGGTGAAAGGAGGGAAAATATTTCTAAGGCCCCCCCTTTTAGATGCAAACTAGAATTTATCCAAAAGTTGAAAAGGAGCCCCTAGGAAGCCAAAGGAGTTGAAAATCGAAATAAGAGCTTTGAGGTGTGTCAATAAAATCGTTTAATGGCTTTTCTTCTTGAACAAAAAGATATATTACAACCTATATTTACAAAAAATAAAAAAGGGGTCCTTATGGTCCTCGATAATCTAAAGTATGTGTGCGTGGGGGGGAAATTCTTGGTATCATAGTATGAACTACAGTTGTTTTACATATTATCTAAAGCATAAAATATAACTTCAAAAATGCAACATACTTTCTCATCTGAGCATTTCATTTTACAGTTTTTTTTTTATTTTTAAGTTGATTTTAGTATATCTCCTTGTAATATTATGCTAGTTCAGTTGCAGCATGGTACGATTTACGCATGCAGTGTTATATTTACTAATTTTTTAAAAAATAATATTGAATTTAAATCAAGTTCAAAAGCTTTTTACCCATATTTTACATAAGTATGTTCAGCTGGGTTGCATCATCAAAAGTGCATAAAAAGATAAATTTTATTTTTAAAATTTTAAATTTCTACCGAAATTAAAAACGTTTTTGTCTTCAGACTTACGTACCTATATTCAAGCACCCATCTCTACAGATGCACATCATATGTAAGCAAAATTAATTTAAAAAACAAAAATTAACAATTTGCAGCTACGTGTGGGGGGAAAAATGTCTTGGGTGCCGATACCGGCTCTTAAAATTTGGGATTTTGCTCTAGATATTTTTTAAGTCTCAATTTTGTGCCCTTAAGGTCTATTAGTTCATGCAAAATTTTACTACAGTTTAAATTATTTCATATACTGCCCCTCAAAGGGTTAAACCTATTCACCAGTAAAATTAATTGAGTGAGCTTATATTTTATTTTATTAGTCTTAGACTACTTTATAAATGTTTAAAGTTTATTTAAACCTCAAGATTTTCTTATAATATTCAGACAGTGATAACATACTAACTTTCTCTAGTAAGCTGTGCAGTACATACTTTAGTTTCCACCTCAATAGCAACCTTCAAGAACTCTGCAACAAGTTTGCGTGAAACCGATCAAAGACAAGTCCCAACCAGCAGCGGTAGCCATTTTCCAACCGTTAGTCATTATCGTCCCTGCCTGCAGGCCTAACTGCAAAGGAACGTCGGGCTTAAAGCCATTCGTAAAAGGCAAACCAAGAAGAAACGAACTCACCTCTCCACTGAAGAACTCAGTGAAGCGCACGAACGAATCCATCATGTCTGCTTTGTGGTCATAGCGGCATCAATTAACTGGTTGAAAATCAAGTATTTTTATGCAGTTGGCCAGGAAACCTTGTTTAAATCAATTTACAGATATCTTAATTCCTAATTAACCAGTACAGCTCAACCCAGAATGCTATTTAAAGTTTTGGGCTGTAGAAAGCAAAACAATAAACCTGAATAATTTTTTTTGTAAAATCTAAAGTAATTTTTTACAAAAATACAGTAGAAGTCCAGAAATCCGCAAAGCTTGGGACCAGAGTTTGTGCGGATTTTAGGATTTTGCGGATTTCAGAACAGAAAAGATAAATCATAATATTCAGACTAAAAGTGCAAAATAAATAAGGTGTATTAGATACATTTAATTAAATGATTATATACATTATTGCAATAACTTATATGTGTTGAATTATTATTACATATATAAATTGATTATATTATTCATTGTACCACGATGTATATAGATACACAGTGTTGACGTTTGTTGATTTCGCCTCATGCCAAGATTTCCGGTTTCGGATTCCGGCGTTAGAATCACTGTTGCTGTAAAATTTCAACAGCTTTTCTTTATTTTTTCGTATATCATGCACAATTGTGTTGCAATTCCATGATTCTGCACTAAACCGATTCTGGTATAAAATGCACCTGTGTCCATCTTTTGCAGAATGTGCACTTTTTACATTACCATCAATGCAATGTGTTTACATTTTTCAACGTTGCAAGCAGTAAAATCATAGTGCCTTTCTTATCTGTAACTGTATTAAAAAGGGCTGAAATTTAAAATATTCTTAATTTATCCACAAAATATTCGGATTAAAAAAAGGCTGCACTAAATAATCCCGTGAAATAACAAAGCTCAGAAAATACAAAAACGTGAATCGTGAACTTGAAGAAAGAGTTGAGTGAATCGTCTACTTTCTTACCTCGATGCAGATTAGAGGGGGAAAAACTTTTATCATGATGTCAATAATTTGGTATTTTCATTATGAGTCATTATTAATTGGTAATTATGATGTCATTATTCGGTAAGTATTTTTTCTTCAATATTTCGTACTCAATGTTGAGGTTTCCAGAACCTATAAACTGAATGTTTATTAAGACAATGTTTATATTTTGAGAGGCAACGTAGATTTCAAAAGTTGGCGGATTTCAGGTCAGCAGATTTTCAGTATTTGACTGTATTAAGAAGGGTGAGGTGAGAAGTTCCAATAAGATGCAGCTGCGATAAACAGATCATCTGATCTCAGATTTTATCTGCCGAAAGAACCTGAAATGGTACTTTTTTTATTCCTTCGGGTTCATAACTTTTCCAGTAATACTCTGTTTTAAATTTTCAAACCATCAGTTAAACTGAATTTCGAGGAAATTAAAAAGTTCAATTAATTTTATACTATTTTATTAATGCCTGGATAACTTTTTACTTTTATTCAAAATCTTTTTATCGTTTATTCATTAATTTTTTATTGCTTACTACCTTACTTTATATGCATTTACCACATGCGGAGAAGATCTGATTTTTATCACCTAATACTATTTGTTTATAGTATAGCTCAAAAACAACTATTTTATATTAGGTCCCTATTTGTAATGAATGTATGATTCTGGACCATAAGCAGCCTGAACATTGCTATGAAAAGGCTGTCGATGCTGAACAGAAACAGAGAGAGGAACTCAGGAACCTGATTTCTGAAAGTGAGAGTAAAGTACAGTTTTGTGAAGAAGCAGCATCTGTTCTTGATACTCATTTATCTGATCTTCAGATGCAGTATGATAATGCAAGGTCTTATATTGAAGTAAGCTATAGATTTGAAATGTTTAAAAAATCAACTTATTATTTTCACTGAATTAATGTAAATATTGTTTATTTTTGGAGTATTATGCCTTTTGAACTGTCACTAAGTTCTGCATTGTAATTAATATTATTTGATGGGTTTTTTTGATAACCTAGCAGTATTTAAAACTGCAGAATAATTAGGAAATAATGCAAATAAACTTACTCTGTTTCTGACTGTTGCCAGACTGCTTTACAAAGTGCCATAGACATGGTGCTAATGGGTACTCATGTTGGGATTCAGAACTATATCTCCTACAACTGCCTTAGGAGTCTCAGCACTGAGGGATAAAAACATGAGCCTGCCGGTTCCCGAACCCCAAAGGAACCGACTTATATAGTTAGACCAAGGAGGGCCTCAGTAGCGGAATAGCGCCTGGGCCATGGAAGTTCTAGATCCGCTGTACTCCATTATTCTGTCTAAAGCCTAGATGGGGTAGCCTGCACAGTAATAGCGGGTAGCATTGTTTGTTGATCAGTAAAATCTTCAGGCTCATAGCTGCACCGCATCATGAGACAGCAGGTATGGACTCATGGTGGGTTTAGGAGACTGCAAAATGTCTGTCACCCGGTAAGTGTTGGACTGGTCTTCAGCAAATGAGACTAAACAAACCATCTCCAAGATTGTTTTTGGTTGGATCATGCCTATAAGGAAATTTTTCAGAGAGATCTAGGTCATTTAACAAATTAGTTGGAACATGTACATAAGTATTGTCATTATTATCTCATATGTCATCTATCATAAAATGATGACAGAAGAAAAAATGATATGGCTCAAATTCTGTGAAGAATCGGCTAGCATCAACACTTGGCAGCTTCTGTGCAATCTGGCTGAAAGTGTAACAACCAGCAGTTATTTGGTAGTATTGGCAGTATACAAGCAGGGAACACTCTGGCTTATCAAGAAATGATTGACCTAATAATTAGAAAGCTGTTCTGAAAAGATATAATAACACAAGACAAACCAGAGCATAGTGCAGTGAGATGGCAGGTGCACAGTTGTAATAACTTAAATTCCGACTTCAATAACGAAGTTTGAGTGTCTCTGTCTAGTCTGGCAAAAAGTAAAGAAGCTCCAAGTTTCGACAGTCTCAGCCTAGAAACAATAGTTAAGCTGATAATGCCATTTCTTAGCTTTGAGGATGATATTTAATAAATGTCTACGCCACTTTCTGACTGCTTGGAAGAAGATTAAGTTTATCCTGTTCAACCCACACACACAACACACACACACACACACAAAAAAAAAAAAAAAAAAAAAAAAAAAAAAAAAAAAAAAAAGACGACCCCAAAGCATACAGATCAATCTGCCTTCTGCTGTTGGTGAGCAAGGCTTCGATAAGTTAATCACAGTATAAGTTTAATCACTCACTGAAGCTAACTACCCTGGTATATCTACAATTCAATCGAGAGCTGTTTTAGTGATAGAATACTCGTTAATGAAAGCAGTACTTGCTTTAAAGAACACAAGGTTATTAGACTTTGCCTACAAGGTTCATGTAGTGGCCCTCTATTTTGGAATTTACTAGCAGATACCTGCTTGAAGTTAGGGATGCCTGAAGTAGTTACTATGCAGGCATAAGCTGACGATCATGTATCACCTGTCTTGGGTCATAGCAGAGTGATCCTTGAATGCAATGCCAGAAAGGCAATTTACAAAAAAGCCATGGAGTGAGCATTATAAACTCCTATTCTATCTAAATAAAATAGGTAATAGGACACCTACATCAAATGGGATATTAATTTTGTACCAAGTGTGTGGAATCCTTATGCCGTCTGGGAGTGGTGTGGGACTCATGCCTGACTTTCGAAGCACACCTGGATGGGATTATGAAACAATCCCAAACTCATATGAACAACCAGATGGTTGTACTCAAGCCATCCAGCCATACTAAAAATGATATATTTGGGAGCCGCAGAAAGGTACGTACTTTTTAGCAGTGGCACGTGTTGCTTGTGTCTCTCAAACTGTCAGTTCAGAGGCTTGCTCAATTCTACAAAGACTTTTTTTTTGCTTCCAGTAACAAAAGCATACAAGAGTGCACCCACATTCAGTGCACAAGGTCTAGCAGGAAACCAGGTGGCAGCCGCAGAGTTTGCAAAGTGCCAAATGAGGTCATTGAACTAGCTCGTAACTAGTTGCTGTTACCTTCGATCCACAGGACTGAGTCCAAAGATGATCTCTGGCAAGAACATCCAGCTCTGAGAATAACCATACCATTAAGCATGAAAAAGCTGAAACGGGACATAATGGAAATCTACACAGATGGTTGAGGGCTTGAGGAATGCATTGTAGTGGCCTTCATACTACTGTGATATGGAGATTCCTGAGGAACATTATGGGTTAGGAGACCTTAACACAGTCTTCCAAGCAGAGCTTATTGCCATAAAGAAAGCTCTCATGGTGCATCCAATCCTGTAAGAGAACAAAAACTCCATACATATGGACAGTTTGTCATCAAACTCTAATCGCTGCCATTTTCTGATTAATGAAATTTTAAAAATTTGCCGCCAAGCTTTAAAATCTCAGACGGTAGAGATAAAATGGATTAAGGCCCACGTAGCCGATCGCTGAAACAAGTTGTCAATGATTGTGCGAAACACGTTGCCTTAAAGGATGAGCTCGATAAAAATCTTCGCATACCCATTATACTTGAGATTGTGATGAGTCATTTAATGAAACTGTAAGAGCAATTTGTAAAGCTATCGCCCAAGTAGACTGGGCAACATTGGAGTGCGTGTGCTGAGCAAAAACTGAAAAAAATTATGGGCATGTATCATATTATCTATGGCAAGATATTGTAATTTAAAAGATTTGTAGGAAATTCAGCATTTTTCTTTCAGTTATCGTGTAATGGTAAAATTTCTGGAGACCACCTGATAACAGTATGACCCTCTATACATTGTCTTTTTTCTGTTCTGTAGCATGCTCTGTGTTTTGTGATTAAAGATTTTTATATAGTAATCATTAAATTGAAATTCCTTAGAGATAATTTTGTATATGGAGATAATTTAATGCACAAGTGTGTAGTGATGGCTTAGTTTAAAATGTAATTTTTCATAACGTAATGAGTTTATTCAGTTGCATAATTATTATTATGAAACCTTTTGAACATTTTAAAAAAAATATTTAAAATAGTGTGTAATTAGTAAAGTTCACAAAGTCATCATTTTATTTTTATTTTTAAAGGAAACATTCCAGTCTTATAAAGCAATACTTGAAAGGCAACAAGAACAGTTATTAAAAGAATTGGATTCTATACATTCATCACAAGAGCTTCAAATCATGGAAACATTTCACAATGTTGAGAAGACAATCGAAAAGATTGACGATGCATGCAAGTTTGCTGAAAGACTGTTAAGTTGTGGTAACACATTGGAAATTTTAAGCTTAATTCATGTAAGTGGCCATACCAATTGAAAATATTTTCATTATTAATGAGTTATTAATGCTGCATAATAATGCTGATTTTCATGCTTAAACCACCTTTTTATCAGTGCCATCTGAAACAGCTCTTTGTCCATGTACAACACAAATTATATAAACAGTCTAACTAGCTTCCCCCTTTATTTTTTTAAAAAAGAGCATACTATAATAAAAACAAGCTCTGAGCCTTTTTGTTGGTAATATTGCACTGAAAAAGAAAAATGCATCACAACATGTACTGGAATTACACAGATGACTGTATAACAACTGCCTTGATCAAGGTTATTCCTTATCAGCAATAACAAAATAATTATAAGACCACAGACCAAATGACGCAGTATTAATATATTGTTTGTAAGTCATTGTATAGGCTAAAAAATTTAAACATAGGAGCTCCTTCAGATTTGCACTAGCTTCACTTTGAAAAAAATTAATTTTTGCGGTGAGTTTTGGCTTCTTAATTCTGTTTTGCTGATAACCTTTAAAAATGCATGAAATTGGAAATCAAAGTGCTTCTGTGTTTGAATAGTACTAGTTTTATTATGATTGAAGGCATTAAGTAAGATCATTAGTGTAAACTTTGCATAAAAGTATTAGCTTTTTATTTGTATTAAATTGTTTTATAGTAATTTTTAATTATTTGGCCAAAATTCAATTATTTTTTATTAGATTGTTGGAACACAGTTACTTTCTTTAATAAATAATACTCCAAAGCTTGATATCTCAGTCGGAATAGCATTTGAAACAGATGAAAAGAAATTTGAAGCTAGCATCCAAGAGCATTTTGGAAAAGTAAAAAAACCAGAACCTCCTGCGAAAAAAGAAGATTCACCAGTTTCCCAGAAGGCCTCTCCAATGCATTCCAGTTCATCTTTTGAAAGTGATGCATTTAGTCTATCAACTGGTGTAATTACTCCTGATAATACTTTGCCATCTTTAGATGTGGATTTGGCAAACAATATCGTAGCACAATACAATCTGGCCCAGTTAGCTGGCATGGCTGAGAGGAGCATTTCTCAGAGTTCTTCAAATGCCACTCCACCACCACTTAACCTTGCTGACCTTCTTACAACTGAATCTGATGTTACTGCTGCGCAGTTGAATGCAATAAATAATCTTACTGCTCTTGCTAAGATGGGTTCGATATCACTTAGCAATGGTAAGTTTTATTATTCTATGAATCCTTTTAGTTTTCTATGAAACTTGTATGGTATTTTATGGATATTTCTTTATAGAAAAGGAATTTAAGTTTATTTTTTAAGGATTATGCTAGCCTTTGAGCATTTTACTGTCTTTTTTTAAAAAAATGTAGTTGTAATGATTTAGTTAATTAAAATTTGCATTGAACTTCGTATTGCATAGGTTTTACTCAAATTGTTAGATAATTATGCCTTAAATCTTGTTTACATTCTTTTCTGCCCAAACAATGTGATTCATTTTCTTTAAATGTCAGTGGGTTTTTTTTTTTTTTTAATGTTTGGGGGTGTGCGTAGCTTGATTTAAAAAGACCACAAATCATAAAATTAAATATGCAGTTGATGAACCCTTTTTTTAAAAAAAAAATCAAGAACGTACTACACAGTTAGCAATTGTTTCCAGATGATATGAGGTTGTGTTATTCTCCCAAATTTTTGTGCTTACTTTTGGTGACTGTCACCAGATGTCCTGAAATCATGAAGTTATATATACAAAAATTTTAAATAATTTAAAGGAGTGATTACTAATTTTTATTTGCTAAACTATTTAAATGTTTGAAGCTGCTGCTAGAGTCATTAAATTCATCTGTCCAAAGGCATGTTCATACGTGCATTTAAAAGAGGCATAAGTGATGTTAGAATTTCCTTGTCTGAATCCTGTTATGATGTCTGTCAGGAAGTAATGATTTTTTATGCAGGCTCATTATTTCTGTTTCACAAAAGGTTATAGGAAGATTTTTTGATCATGTTATACCATCAGCACCTTGGCTTATTATAGTGAACATTTGAGTATCATCTCAAGTGGGTCTGCACTTCAGAGCTTTCAGATTACCATAAAATTTTAATAAATTAATATAGTTTCTTTTAAAATACAATAATTGATAATTAATAAGATACAATAATGTTGATGTTTTGTCCCATTTTGTAATGAAACTCCTTTTAAATCTAAACTGTCAGAAAGTTCTGTTCAATAATGTTATTTCAAGTAATAACATGCATGCATGAGTTCACTTGAGATGTATATGGCAGTCTATCACTGCATTTTTAAGTGTCTTGTGATTATTAAGTAAGATGCAGTCATGTAAACATGCCTACAAAGTTAATTTGCAATACTATATTTTGTACGAATTCCAAGGAAGAAGAAATGCTGAAAAAGCATGTCGAAATTTCATGGCAGTTTTTGCTGGAGATGCAGTTTTAGATAGAACATGCAGGAGATGGTTCGAAAGCAGGTGATATCGTCCTTAATGATAAACCACACACTGAATAGTTATCATTGATTGATGACAATATTATCATGATCATGACAGGGCAAGATCTGTTTTTGCAATGACAAAGATTGCATAATAGCTTAATTCTGTTCAACAAACAATTTTGGTCATATTCAGAAACTAAGATTGATCTAAAAATATTCCAGATGGATGCCTCATGAGTTAAGTGAGAAAACTTTGCCCAATCATGTTGTCATATGCACATCTCTACTTCCTGGGAATAAAAATGAACCCTCTTTAGACTGGATGATAACTGGGGATGAAAAGGGATTACCAATGAAAAAGAGAAAGAGCATATTGTGAGCAACCTGCTCTCTAACCGAGTTTGAGCCTGAGTAAGAGAATGTGCTGAAGAAGTCTTCGATTTTCAACTTCACCTTTAGAAGACGAGGAAGCCCCTAGAGACAAGTGGACTAACACATATGGTTCATAGGAGAGTAACACAGTCCTACATCCTGAAAGAGCTTTTCAAAAAGGTATGTGTGAAACCAGTGAAAGTTGAGTCCCAACCATATCTCAGCCACTGGCCAGTATCTCATTCCTGCCCACAGAACTAAAGTTGCAAAGGAATAACAGGCTGCATGCTGTTCGTAAAGGCCAGGCGACGAGATGAAGTGAATGCACCTCTCCATATAAGAATTCAGTTAAGTACACAAACAAATCTGTTACATCTGCTTTGGAGTCGGAGCGATTTGAAGAGAAAAAGATTGTTACAAATTATCAATAAATGATTTGTTGAGGTCTTTAATTCATGTGACACAAAGTTGTACCCTAAGATTGGCACAGTACTAAAGTTAAATTTTGCGAAACAGGCTGTTAAGTAGTGTTACACCTCTGTTTTGGTCAAGTGTTACTGCAGCCCTATAATTTGCAACTGCCAAGAGTTTTTCTTACCAGTCTTTCTGAAATGGGTGATTAGCAATTTAAATATGTCTTTAGCAGTGACATCTGTAAATTCTGTTATATTAAGAACAAGTTCATTCATGTCTGGAAATGTGGTTCTTACATAAATGTGTGAACAACTGAATTATTGTAGTGCTTTTATCTAGAAGATTTATTTTATTATTCGATTAGTGTTCTTAGTGGCAAAGCTTTTCATGTCAACTATAATGCAGGTATTATTAGTAATGTGTACATAGACTGACTGTAAAAGCAGCTAATATTAATTTCTGCATCAAAGCCATGAAACATGATTGTTTTTAATTAGTTTATTTGTTCTATATATGTTGGTGATTACTTCCTTATAGTTTTCATAAACTGTGGTGCACATAATTTTCAAAGATTTAGTTTTTGCTCTTCTCAATGTTGAAAACTTTTCTTTTGGAGAGAAAGTGTTTAATCTCTGTCTTCATCTGTAGCACTAGTTGATGCTGAACCTACTGGTAAGAACTAGTCATGCCTTGCATTTTGCAGTGTGTATTCAAGGCACCAAATTCTTTGCAAGTTAATCTGTGAAGTAGTGTGGTGTCTTAGTGATTTGATGATTAAGGCCAAACTTTCATCACTAAGACAACACACTACTTCACAGATTAAACACTTATATAATACTTCGGAAATGCCATGAATGAAAATCTTAAAGGATTGTTGATGTGAACTAGAGATGCTGACAGCCACACTCGTGCATGTGCACAATCAGGAATTTCGGTATATACAAACTCTTTGTGCTTTTAGGTAAGATGCAAAAAAGATTGATTGCTTGCTGCTATCTCAAGATCACAACAAGGTTGACAATCTCAAAATGACAAAATAACAAAGCTCTATACCTATTATTGGAGCTATATGTTGCGTAAAGAGTACTTGTTTGTATTTGTCTCCCCTTCCGCAAAATGATGTTGGTGACTATTTCAGCCGTACTGGTAGCATGTTCGATACTTGTGGATGTAATTAAATATCTTAGTTATATAACTAATGTCTTTGCTTCCAGCAGAAGCTACATAAAACTTGAAAAAGATGGTACTTTTCCATTTTGCCGGCACAGGCGATAAAATCGCCGAAAATAGTACGGTAAATGCCAAACGAAATATTCTCAGTGGTAACCTTTTGCGCCTCATTTTCAAAACAAGTTGCAGCCATTTCTTATCAGATTGATTGTTTCTTTCAATACTCACATACAGTTACATAGAATTTTTACCATACAGTTCAATTTTATGCCGTAAGGACATTTGTGGTAATTGAGTCAGTTAGTCGAGGATTAAATTCATCAGTTTTATTGAGAATGTACTAGCGAAGTAAAGCACTGCGGTTTTACGTAATTTCTGAGTAAGGTATTCTTACGAATTGAAATAATTCTTGCATTTAAACTTTTATTTCGAATTAAGATATAACTTGAAATTAATGTAGATAATTACTGAGAGAATTATATTTTTGTAGTGTAGTTTGCGTGAGATGAAATCACTTGGAGTCACGTGATATGAACCTGCGAATCAGAGTGTTGTACCATCATTAATTTATTCTTAAATTAATGTCTTTTTATAAATTGTCTTTATTGGTTTTTTACAAAATTTTAAATGATATTAAAATGCCTTCAAAATAAAAAGTTCTTAGAAGGAACATTTTTTCTGTGTACACTGTGTTTTGTTGCTAATAAAGTCTGCTTGGCAAGATTTGCGCTGGCAAAATGGAAAAGTACCAGAGAAATCTTACAATATTCATAATACATTGCGAGTTCATTTAGTTCATTAATTTTTTTTTTTCCTTGCGTTAGATTTAAAAAAAAATTTTTAGGAGTATATGTACCCTGCATCTGCCACACAAAAAAAACACTGTAAAATGCTATTGTTACTAGTGTCGAATTTGTAGCTCTGCTATAAAATTTATAAGCATATCTGTAATATTCACTTGAATTTAAAAGCCAGTTTTCTGTAATATTCACTTGAATTTAAAAGTCAGTTTTTTAAATTTACAATTTTTTAAATGCAGCCACACTTTTCATAGTTATGTTTAGTAAGAGTTTATACTTGTTCATAAACAAAATGTACCAACAAATTTGGCAAAGCTATTTAAAGTATGAGATCATGCTTCAAAATCATACACAAATGGTGAATTACCTGAATTTATACATAACAAAAGATGAAGTATGAATTTAGAAAAAAAAAAAAAAAAATTCTCTGGTAGTAGAGTAAGTAATGAGCAATTGCTCCAGGCTGTCATAAAATGTTTTGATCAGCTTAAATTTTTCCCAAAAGATCTTATTTTGTAAATCTCATAGAATTCTAGAACATATTTACTCTTTTTTGAAAACTAACCTGTTTTGAAATGTTGTACTGACACATAGCCACTTTGTAACACTGCATAAAATAAAAGTGAAAAACATATCTATTCCACTGGTTTTTTTGGGAAAGGATTATATGACTTTTAGAATTTTATGCTAAAATAATAAAACTGGATGTGAATTTTTTATGCATCTTTAGCATAAACTAGTGTGAAAATGATATTCACATACCATATTTAACAAACTGCATATTGCCCAAAAAGCGTAATATGCCTTCATTTGTTCTCTTGAATGATATTACTTTGCTAAAAGTAAACTTTTATAACTCTAAAGGAAGTACTTTACATCTTTCAGCTGACATATATTAAAACTGGAGATATTTATTAAAGCAAAAACCTCTAATTTTTTGTGCTTATTCAAACTAAAAGTTTGATTGTTATCCTTATGATAAATTTGATTGCTATCTTAAATGGCAGCTTTTCTTTTAGATGAAGTTTTATTATGGTAAAAACTACTAATTTTTCGGTGCTCATTCTCTTTTTCAAACTGACAGTTTGATTTTCATCCTCATGATAAGTTCGATTGCTATCTTTAATGGCAGTTTTCCTTTTGATGAAGTTATCGTCTGATTATGTGTGACAAGATCTTTGAGAGTCAAATATATTTTACAAAAGACCTGTGATTCCTAGTTGTTGCTTATTTGAAATTGATTCTGGGAATATAATTATTGGTGGAAATGATAAATATGGATTTTTATAGAATTATTTACTTTGTGATATAAAGTGTTTTTTAATCTTTATGTAAAAAACATCTTCAGAAATTCGATAGTGTGAACTTTTTGTATCTTCATGGTATTATCATTTTTTTTTTTTTTTAAATTCTTGTCTCATATCCATTGAGATACATAGTGTTTAGAAGAATAACCATTATGCATCAGAGTTCTGAATATTTAAATAGTTTGTCCTTTTCAAAGGTGTTTGATGCTCTTTTTTAAATGTAAGTAGTTTCATTGTGAATTAAAAAAAAAAAAGTGTTTGGAGAAATTAAATGTTATGCTACTGTGATAAAAAAATAATGTATTTTGTAGTACATTTTTTGTGTATGATTATATTTTTAAAAATTAAAAAGTATTAAAATACGTAACATGCTTTTTTTTTTGGCTGCCTGCATTTTGAATTTTATACTTTATGGACATAAGACTTTTCCTAATAGTTTTTAATATATTGCTGTCTTAAAGAATATCATCTGCCTTCATTTTTATTTTTTGGGTGGTGTTTATCAAAATACATTAATGTCTGTGAAAAATGCAAAACCATGAAAGACTTGTCTAAAATGAATGAAATTTATTCCACATGTTACTGATAGTGGTACAAATAAACAATCAAATTTTCAAGACAAAAAATAAATAAATAAATAAATGTCGGAAATCTGTATATTGTGTATGTGCCATGCTGAGCGATGAGAGCCTGTGCATGCCATCGCATTGAATCACACAGGTTCTGAATATAATCCTGGGGAATGGCATTGCATATGGCTTTGAATTGGTGCTAAACTTCAGTCTTACTCTGTTCCCCAACAGCTGTAGAAGCGAGTCACTGACTGATAAAATATCATACATGTTCATTGGACAACAAAATCCCATAAATAAGGATGCCACAGAAGAAATGTAACTTGTACCCTAAAAAAGGCTTGTGCAGCCTGAGAAACGTGTTTACGGCATTATTCTGTTGAAATACAATGCACAGAATGTGTCGAAGAATGGGGAGGACCTCTGGGTCCGCAACTTCCCTTAAGTAGTGCTGAGGTTGCCCGCAGTCTCCACTAGATGGGATTGACAATTATACCCAGGAGCTCCCCACACTGTGATGCCAGCCTTTTGTGTAGTGTGATGCTGGGAATAGACGTTTCCACTCTGTAATATCTTACACATACTCTTCTATCACTATTCCAGATTGTAGCGAGATTGTAAAGAAACCCTTATATGCAGTGATGAAAAATGGAGCTAGACAACACAGCACCTGTAGCCATGCTCCAGTGTTGTGCTAACACACGAGAGGACGCTGTAATCCTCCATCACAGCTATGCAGACCCGTGCTGTTGCGTTATTGTGTTGTGTCCAACTGCCAAGATGTGGCTTGTTTGGTTCTCTTCTGTCCATTTCTCCAAAACACGCATCGCTATGTCATTAAAATCCGTGCTGGCTGAAGTTGCTCGATACAAAAGTTCACCCTCTGGTATACTGACTATGTGGCCTCGTTCGAATGCTGTTAGTTGTTGGTATGAAACTCTCTGCTGTTGTTGGGGCATATTGACCATTGATTAACCACAGACAGATGACGAACAGATTTTAGCGTAACTTTACAGTCCTTTATAGCCATAGAATAGGCATCCATTTCTTGTTCCATGCATGTGCAATTGTTTTGTAATTAATTTCATGTCGTACCTCACTTTACAATTACGGTAAGTTTGGTTGAGTTTGTATAGTTCTTTCATGTAGTTGCATTTTTGCAAACATTAGTGCAAGTTGTTTTTGAACCTTTTTATTCATTAATCTCTAACACATTCTTTAAAACAGGCCAAACTTCACTAAATGGACAGCTTGTGTCGGGACTGAATCTTCATTCAACGCAAATGCCTAATTCTCCTCCATCTGGAAATCAAGTTATGAGAGTTATGAATTCTCCATCTCCAATTGAGGGTCTGGAAAGCCTATTGGGTAACAGTAGTATTGTAGGTTCAGGTTCTAGAGTTGGAAGCCCTCTGAATGGTCCTGTATTAAATGGTGGGTCTTTTCTAACACACGGAGTGCATAGTCCTCCTATATTACCCCCATCTGGTACGTATATTTTTATAATAGACTAATTGAATCATCTTGCCCAAACTTTTAAAGCATTGCCTTGTGTATGTGATATAAAGTAAAACTTTCATATAATACTTAATTGCTCCTTCTGTGTAGCATTATACAGTACAAAGTCTGTAATCCGGACGTCCATTATCAGGAATGATCTGTAATCCGTACCTCAAAGCCACAAATTTTTTTTTGTATGCTTTACGCAGGTGCATAATGCTTTTACGTACGCTCGTTTAGCACAAAAAACGAAGCAACTTAAACAACTTATTGAAAGAAATAATTAATAAAGTAAACAAATAAATATTAAGCTTTTTTTTTGTAAAATTTGATACCCTTTAGATCATAATTGCTCTTTATTTCATAAATTACGGTTTCATATTTTTAACTGTATAATTTCTGCATGCCATCTTACCAGATTTAAATCCGGAATCGCCGAAGTCCCGACAAGTCCGGATTACAGACTTTGTACTGTGTATGTAAAATACTGTTCTTAATTGTTGCATCTTTGAGTTTTATATAATTCTAGAATAATTTCATGAATACAGTTTAAAGTAAAAAAACAATATTCAAATAAGTAATTAAAATTCATTTATGTTATGTCAATTGTTAAGATTTAATAACTGACATATTTTTAAAATTACTACTTGAAAAAGTCTTTTGTTTCTTTTTATTTTTTAAAGCCAGAAAATTTATTTAGTTTTATTTATCAATAATAAGTACTTCTGTTTAAATGCAGTACAGTCAAATATCCTGTAAAGAATGATTTAGGTATTATTATACTTTTTACTTCATGAATGAAATTAGGTCTTTGTAAGAATTTAATTTTTTCTATTTAATTAAGAAAATTTCTTTGAAAATTAGGAAAATATGCCATACAGCACACTTATTATATTAATCAAAAATCTTGCATGCATTTGAAATTTTGTAAAGATTAATGAGGCATAAGTAAAGAATTCAGTACTTGCGTATTAAATCATTGCTATTTTTACATCCCAAGTAAGAAAATGGACAAACTTGGGAGGAAATGTCTTAACGTTATCCATCTCTTCATTGATTAATTGCGAAATTGATGTGTACTGGAAAATAGAAATTACCAATCACAAATTTCATGCCTGCAAAAATTTAGTTTCCTTCTCACTAATAATATGGATGATACCTTCTTCAAAATCTTAGGTTTCTATTTCAGTCATTCCTTTGTTAGTTTTTCATTTTTATATTATGCTTTTTATAATCACATTTATGAATAAAGAATGTTATGTTGTGCAGTAATGGTTGAATAAAGTAAAATATCAATTACATTTTTTTTAATTAATTTCTTCGCCAATGTTTACTGAAAGAAAAATTTGATTGAGAAACTTGATTGATATAATTTCTGTGATGCCAGTCTACTAGTGTGTGCTACCATAGTATTTATCAAATGTGAATCAAAGCAGGTTGTGTCAATATAATCATTACAAGCCTGATCAAGAATTACTCCTATGAAGAAGAGTACCATACCAAGATGGGAACTGCAAGCAGCTACAATTAGAGCTAAGTTGCATAAGTCAGTGGTGGAAGCTCTTAAAAACTGAAAGATACAGAATCATTCTTTTAGGCAGACTCAACAACGATTTTCACTTGGATCTGCCGTGATGAACAGTGGTCAGTTTTTGTCAGTAACAGGGTAAGATAAATAAGACAACTGATTTCCTCAGAGCTATGGAAACAGAATGTATGGAATTTTGTCGCAAATTCAACAGTCAAGGAAATGAACCAGAAGTTTCAGTGAAGAGGGAAATATACCTTTAATTTTCATAATGTGTGTTCAGCTAGAAAATAGATACTGGTTTTATAAATATGGGCCTGACTTAGGCCTGGAAAATAGAAAATTAGCAAATTACGAAATATAAAATAGTACTTCATTATAAGCACTGTGCAAATGTACTTTGTTATCTTCATAATAAGTGTTAAGCTGGAAAATAGATACTGGTATTGTAAATATGGGCCTGACTTAGGCCTTGTTTTAGATTTCAGAGTTTCTTCAATTAAATAGCTCCACTAAGCCCGAAGTACACTCATTACAAAGTACATTTCCATAGTGCAATGTTTGGTTAAATATTATAATTAAGAATAGTCAGATTCCAAAAAAATGTGTCCAGGGTTATTCGTCCTGCGAGAAATGTATAGTAGGTGAAAACAGGTTATTATAACTATTCTTGGGAAAGTGTTGCTGCATATCAAAGAACTGCAAACAGTGCTTTGTGACTGTAATAATTAACTCTCAACCTCTAATTTACATTTCTGAAGATCAAAGTAATCCAGTTCTCTTGGCTCCTAATGTGTGCCTGAATTATGATGATGGAGTTGGAGTACCTGATCTAGACTTGAGAAAATCACAAGATCTCAATAAATAGTTAAAGTACAGACTAAGGTTGAGAGAAGTATTACAGCAAAGAATTTGTAGTGAATACTCAGCCAGCTCAAGATGGATGTCAATAAAACATTGTCAAAGAAGATAAATGCCGATGAACACTGTATTAATCGGAAGTGATATAAAAAACATTTAGATTTGCCATTTGCAAAAGTGATAACACCTTATCCCAGGCCATGATGGCTAAGAATTATGCATGTTGAGACAGCATCAGTTATATCGTTATGACCAATTCAAAGAATCTGTACATTAAAGAAATAGTTGGACATCGAAATGCTGCAGAAAACTTAACTCGCTCCAAAAGTTACAAGAGCCAGAAGGCAACAAAAAAGTTAAAAGAACTTTGCGAGACTCTACCAAAATGATATGTATGTTACGGGATTAAAACTCCTAAGAGACCAAACTTATAAAATTATTATTTGTAAAGAATTGTAGTTATGTGATTCTAGTACTTTAGATTTTATACTTGTTTCTTTTTTAACTTTAGAATTAATTTGTAATACAAAATATAACACATGCTACTTACATGCATAAAAATAAGTTACATATAAAAAAATAATATAAACACTTTAGTTTTTCTTAAACAGACAAAGAAATTTTAAACACAATCAATGTATAAATTCATTTCTTTTACAGATGCATATTTTACAAAATCTGATAATTTCAATTTAGTTACTGTAATTTTACATAGATCACTTAGAGTATTAAATTTAGCAATATCTGGAATAAATCTTAGAACAATATTTTTCATAGAAGAGCATCTAAATAACAGATGCTCAAGATCGACATGCCACAAGGACAGGTGCAGTTCTTAATCTAAAACCTATTGTAATGTGGAAAATGTCCCTGATTAGTTAAGGCTTGGTTACGGTACTTGTCACTTAAGCATCTTCTCTCACTTATAGTTGAGATTAAATTATATATGAATTTTCCTTTAGAATCTGAATCATTCCACTTTGCTTGCTAAAGAGTCAAACTTCTTTTCAATAAGGATTTCAAACTATCAAAGGAAGTCTTTACTTCAAAATCATTGATTTGATTTTCAATGGTAGCCTTTGCCAATCTCTCTGCTAACTTGTTACCAATAGTTCCAGTATGACTCTTTGTCCTAAAGACTTTAATATCTCTGGAAGTACTAAGAAAAATGAACATATCTTTTAACTGCTTAATTAAATCGTTACTTGGACAAACGTCCGTAATTGAAACAATTGCACTCTCACAGTCGCTATAGATTTCTACAGGATCTTGCGTAGAATTAGAAATAAGCCAATATAAAGTCTCCCACAGGGTCACTACCTCTGCCTGATAATCTATATGTCCTGTGTATGCTTAGTTCCTCCTGTGAGAACGCACGGAAGACCGGACCAACATGACCATTTAATTTACATCCGTCTGTAAAAACAGTGTAGCCTGTCATATTAGGGAGGCCTTTATGCCAATTTAACTTTTTCAATAAAGCCAAATGATAGTCGAATCCTTTCTCAAAGTCAAAATCTCTAACTGAGAAGACCTCACTGAAGCAACCGACAGTTTTATTACCAGCTTTTAATTTACAGATAGCATATTCTTTTCCTGCTAAAATATCGATCGGAAGACATCCATCCAAAATCTGAAGGGTCACTGTGAAAACAGATCTAGAACAGAATAGAAGAGAAACACGCTAGTGTGACAATTAAAATGGCAATAACATCCTTGTAGTTAGCGTACATATGTTAAAACACTCAATCGATTTTGAGGGCAACTAAAGGGGCCTCCTCATCAGGAGAATGAAATTACTAGAAAGAAAAAAAAAGAAGAAAAATAAAGCATTGGCAAAGGAGTCTCGGACACACGTGGTCGTTATCAGCACACACGTGGTCGTAACTGGATTTTGAATCAGATTTAGAATGGCCGCCTACTATTATTGAGCCAAGCTGATCAAACCTATAACACTTAGAAGACTAAAACGCAAACAAATCAAGGAAGTCCAAAAATAGGGAGCAAGGGGCAACCACACCTTCACACATCAAGACTGAACCTTGAAATAAAGGGAAAGCCTGTGTGTTAGTAGTTTTAGTCTATGTATTATAGGTTTGATCAGATAGCCTGGCTCAATAAAAGTGTGTATCTGATTCAAAATCCAGTGTAAATCTGATTCAAAATCTGGTTATGACCACTGTAAAATAGCCAGTTTTTCAAATTACCCATACACCTGTTTACCCAGAGCATTGTTCTGCTTGAATTTTTTCATCTTCTTTTTCTTACAGATATCCACTATTGAATCAGTAATATCTTTAATATAAATATTTAAATCAGAAATATTTTCTGAATTTTCTTGGGAAACTTCATTTATAAAGTTATACAGTTCTGTATGAAGATTTAGCTAATTTAAATTGCAAATATAGAAATGTTCAAATGTCTTTTCTCTAAGTTGTTTAAAAGGCCAATTTCAATGTTCCGATGATCGCTACATGAGATATTCATAGAGACAGACCTATTCAAGCCAAAAGATCTTGCAATGGTCAGGTTTATCCAGCTTTTGCCTCTGGCACTGGAAAATGTAGCCGGGCTATCAGGACTATCAATAACGTTCAAA